TATTGTACAATTCATTGATTTGGCTTTTTTCAATAAGGATTTTTCTTCTCGTGTGAAAATCACTTTTTTTGCAATTTGCATTATTCTTTTTTTTTTTTTAACACACTATTCCTTTAGAGTACATTCAAGTTTATAGAAAAGATTGAGTAGAAAATACAGAGTTCACATATAACTCCTGCCCCTGCACAGGTACAGCCTCCCTCATTATTCAAAGCCTAACCCAGAGTGACATACATAATTGATGAACTCACCTGGACAAATTATTTTCATCCAAAGTGCATAGCTTATGTTAAAGTTCATTCTTGCTGTCCTACATTCTATAATTTCTGAGAAATGTGTAATGACCTGTATATACCATCACAGGGCACTCTATTCAACAAATGGTGCTGGGATAATTGGCAAGCCACATGTAGGAGACTGAAACTGGATCGTCATCTCTCATCTTATATGAAAAGCAACTCAAGATGGATCAAGGACTCAAATCTAGAACCTGAAACTGTAAACATTCTATAAGATAACATCGGAAAAACCCTTCCAGACATTTGCTTAGGCAAAGATTTCAGGACCGAGAACCTAAAGGCAAATGCAATAAAAACAAAGATAAATAGGTGGGATTTAATTGAACTAAAGAGCTTCCGCATAGCAAAGGAAACAGTCAGCAGAGTAAACAGACAACCCACAGAGGAGAAAATCTTCACAATCTATACATCCAACAAAAAACTAATATCCAGAATCTATAAGGAACTCAAACAAATTAGCAAGGAAAAAACAGACAATCCCATCAAAAAAGGGGCTAAGGACAGGAATAGACAATTCTAGAAAGAACATATACAAAGGGCCAACAAACGTGAAAAAATGCTCAACGTCACTAATGATCAGGGAAATGCACATCAAAACCACAATGCAATACCACCTTACTACTGCAAGAAGGGCCATAATATATTAAGACCATAATGATTCAAAAAATCAAAAAAACAAAAGATGTTGTTCAGAGATGCAGTGAAAAGGGAACACTTCTACACTGCTGATGGGAATGTGAACAAATACAACCACTATGGAAAACAGTGTAGATATTCCTTAAATAACCAGAAGTAGAACTACCATTTGATCCAGCAATCCTACTACTGGGTATCTACCCAGAGGAAAAGAAGTCATTATATGAAAAAGATCCTTGCACAGGCATTTTTATAGCAGCACAATTCAGGACTGCAAAAACGTAGAACCAGCCAAAATGCCCATCAATCAACAAGTGATTCAAGAAATTGTAGTATGCATATACAATGGGATACTACGCAGCCATAAAAAGGAAAGAATGGCATTAGCAGCAACCTGGATAGAACTGGAAACCACTATTCTAAGAGAAGTAACTTAGGAATGAAAAACCAAACATGACATGTACTCACTCATAAGTGGGAGCTCAACTATTAGGATGCAGAAGCATAAGAATAATACAAAGAACTTTGGGGACTTGGGGGAAATGGTGGGAGGTGGGTGAGCGATAAAAGACTACAAATTGGGTTCAGTGTATGCTACTTGGATGATGGGTGCACCCAAATCTCAGAAATCACTGCTAAAGAACTTACTCGTATAACCAAATACTACCTGTTTCCCAAAAATCTATGGACATAAAAAATTTTCAAAAATTCAGAATTGTTTCTCTGCCCTAAAAATCCCCTGTGCTCTCCCTTTTCATGATTCCCTCCCCATTAACGTTTGTCAGTAACAGACCTTTGTTTCCATATGTGCTTTTCAGAATGTCATATGGTTGGAATCCTACAGTAGGTAACCCTTTCAGATTGGCTTCTTTCACTTAGTTATAAACATTTGAGATTCCTTTTTTTCTTTTCATGGCATAATAGCTCATTACTTCTTGGTGGTGAATCATATTCTTCTGCCTGTAGGTACCAAAGGTTCATAAACTCGGCATGTATTAAAGGACTTCTCAGTTGCTCCCTGTTTTGATGATTTTCAATCAAACTTCTTTGAATATCCGTGTCCACATTTTTGTATGGAAACTAAACTTCAACTAATTTAGGTTAATATCAAGGAGCACACTTACTGGAATTTGTGGTGAGAATGTGTTCAGTTTAGTAAGAAACTGCCACACTGTCTTCCAAATGGTTGTACCATTTTGCATTCCCACCAGTCAATGAATGAGAGTTCCTGTTGTTCCTCATCTCACCAGCATTTGATGTTCTCAGTATAGGATCTTACTTCAAAAGGAAAAGAAGAAAAAGTGAAATGAACTAGATGAAGAAGCTAATGTGAGGCATCATTGATTAGAAGAATTCACTTGAGTGAAAAAGTAAAATGCAAGGAGCTGCTTAGACAGAGATTAATCTGCATCTGCCTCCAGCCCACCTCACATGTAAACAGTGCCAGATTTTGGACTGAGAGAACCACCTTGCTACTTCACAACTCATACACCATCAATGCCTGAGTCAGACCTTCTGGCTTTTAAACTGTGCAACTCTGGATGGGTTTCTTATCTCTGCAAGTCAGTTGCCTCAACTATATTATTGGAAATGTAATAGTTTATATATTGCACTTTTGTAACAAGAATGTGAATATGATCAATTGTGTTTTGCAGGTACAGATATACAAACTGAAAACTATTACTACTCTCTTTATTACCACTGTTCTCATTAACTACAGAAGTTTTTGCAACACTCTGGGCCTGCATGTTTCCAAGAAGAATCAGCTCACGGCTAGTTTGGTGACTGGATTTTCATGGGACGTTCCGTTCTATAAAGCCAAGGCATTGTTTGTGTGATCAAGGATAAAAATGGTTTGTTGGTTGAATGAATGAGTCAACAGAAAGTAAGGGCTTAGGAAAGAGAATGTGCTCAAGGCCCTCTTGGCCTTCTGTAAATGCTTGGCTTTACAGAAGCAGGTAGCTCAAAATTCAGGTGCTTGGAAGGTGTGACTTTTACTTCAAGCCCAGGTGATTTAAATTTTTTTTCATTGTGATACGAAAATGTAAAACGTGCCATCTTACATTTGGTATATTACAAATGCACCATCTTACAACTTGGCATGCACCTCAGCGGCATTCAGTACATTCACTTTATTGTGCAACCAATCTCCAAAAACTTTTTTTGGAAACCCGAAATCCTCTACCATTAAACAATACCTCCCAATATCTTTTCCCCAAAAGCCTCTGAAAACCACTCTTCAAACTTCTGTTTCTATGGATTTGGATACTGTAGATACCACACATAAGTGGAATCATACTATATTTGTGTTTGTGACTGGATTGCTTTATATGGCATAATGTACTGTAGTCCATCTATATTGAATTCTACAGCCTGTGTCTGGATTTTCCTTCCTTTAGAGTCTGAATAAGATTCCATTCCATGAATACCCAGATTTGCTTCATCCATTCATCTGGGGATGAACACTGGGTTGGTTCCCCTTCTTCACCTATGTGAATAGTGTCCTTAAGGACATGCCCATGCGATACATCTACAATATCCTAATTTCAGTACTTGTGGCTATATCATCAGAGGAGAAATTCTTTGATCCTATGATATTTTCTGTTTTAATTTGAGAGGCCCCTATACTCTTCAATGATGGCTGAACTATTTTACATTCCCACTAAGAGAGCACTAAGGTTGCTACCTCTGCACTTCCTTGTCACAGTGTTATTTTCAAATTTGTTAGTTAGCTTGTGTGTCTGTTTTATAGCAGCTATCCTAAAGGATATGAAAGTCTGTTATTTTGACCTGAGATTTAAAATCACCAAAAAAAAAAAAAAAAAAAAAAAAAGGTGCAGTGGGGTAACAAAATCTGAAAGTGTCTCATCTCTCCCACCCAGTCTACTTTCCACAGAGGAAAGTGCAAGCAAGCTCCACTGAATCTGGCCCATCCTGTTCTCCAGCCACAAACCCTTCTTTATTATACCATGTTCACCTGTCTGTTTCAGGTTCACCAGGCTACCTGATGATCTTCACAAGACACTTTGTTTATACTGTGTCGACTTCTCTCATGCTGTTGTCTGGGCTCCTTCCACACTTTTTTTTTTTAAAACTATTTATTTATTTATTTATTTATTTATTTATTTATTTATTTATTTATTTTGAGACAGAGTCTCGCTCTGTTGCCCAGGCTGGAGTGCAGTGGCATGATCTTGACTCACTGCAACCTTCGCCTCTCAAGCGATTCTCCTGCCTCAGCCTCCCGAGTAGCTGGGACTACAAGCGCCCACCACCATGCCCGGCTAATTTGGAAAAAGTTGGGATATTTATTCATCAGACCAGCCCTAAGATAAGATGTAAGTGGCTACACATCACAGAAAGCTTGCTCTTAATAGGTAGAAAATGTGAATCTTGGTCATATTTATAACTGCACCCATAAACAAGACTCAGTCTGGGAGTAAGGCAGGATAGAGAACAGGTGTAGTGCTTGCTTTTCCCCCAGGAAATCCTCCAAAGGTAGGACGTATTCAACTCAGTTTTAGGTGCCTATGCAGTGACCATGGTGACGATGGAAGGGGCTCAGGGAAAAAATAGGTCTTGTTTAGACTTGCTCAACGTGCAACTGAAGCAAGCCTGGCTGGTTGTCAGACATGCAGGGGGATCAAAGCAGGGTCTCCTTATGTCCCTGCTCTCCCATAACCAGAACACAGCCTTCCAGCTTCCTGTGCCTGCTGAAGTCAGAATCCACCTAGGCTTCCGCACTGATACAAAGAAAAAATAATAATTAGCAAAAGCTCAGGAGGAAACTGAGAATCCCGGGAATATTTCCAGAGGTCTCGGGACACCCACCTGGAGCACAGAGCTGAGTTTCGGGTGGTTCTCAGCTCTGCTGCCCACACGTGGGCTGCTCTCCTGAGCTCCGCCCAACTCGGGATGGAGGGAGGTGTGGGGACATGACACTGATGGATGGCAGCAGCCCTGGCTAGGAAGGTTGAGCTGACAGCCAGGCCCGGTGACCTATCAGGTGCCCCCATGGGCAGGACCAGCCAGACTCCCTAGATACAAATAGCCCTGGGCTCCACGGCTTCACAGGCTTCTGGGATCGAGTCCAAATTTCTCATCGTTTGTGAAAGCTGAGCTCACAGCAGAATAAGCCACCATGAGGCTGTCGGTGTGTCTCCTGCTGGTCGCGCTGGCCCTTTGCTGCTCCCAGGGTGAGTACATCAGTCATGAGTCCAGCACCAGCCCCTGGGACACACCCTCCTCTGAGCCGAGGCCGATCATTCGGGCTGGAGTAGGAGTCTTCACTAAACCAAAACACCACACCTTTTTCTGTGCTTGTTGAATGAGCCTCTCAGAAAGCTCAGGGCTATTTCTTCTCCCCAGCACCTAGGAAGTTTTATAAAATATAAATGCAGGAAAATGTTAGGAATTCTTCTGCCCGAGCTTCGCTCCTGGATGGGATCCGTGTCAGAGGACGTAATGTGAGGTCTGGGGTGAATCTGGGCTTTGCCACTTCCCAGCCATTTGACCTTTGGCACAATGCTCACCCTCCCTGACCAGCCTCCTCCAGTCACTGGTGGTTAGAGCTTCTGCCAGGAGTGGCTATGGGAATGGAGTAAGATTAAGGCTGTCAAAAGTCTAGCTGTGGGCCAGGCATCATGGCTCACACCTAGATTTTAACACTATGTGTGAGCCATGTAATTTTAACACTTCAGGAAGCCGAGGCGGGCGGATCGCTTGAGCTCAGAAGTTTAAGACCAGGCAACATGGCGATACCCAGTATTTACAATAAATAGATAAATAAATAAATAGCCTACACAAAAAAAAATTAGCTGGGCATGGTGGCATTCACCTGTAGTTTCAGCTACTTGGGGGGCTGAGGTGGGAGGATCGCTTGAGCCCAGGAGGCTGAGGTTGCACTGAACCAAGATTGTGCCACTGCATTCCAGCCTGAGAAAGTGATACTCTGTCTCCGAAAAAAAAAGGCTGAGTGCGGTGGCTCACACCTGTAATCCCAGTGCTTTGGGAGGCCGAGGCAGGTGGATCACCTGAGGTCAGGAGTTCGAGACCAGCCTGACCAACATGGAGAAACCCCATCTTTACTAAAAATACAAAATTAGCCAGGCATGGTGGCTCACACCTGTAATCCCAGCTACTCAGGAGGCTGAGGCAAGAGAATTGCTTGAACCTGGGAGGTGGAGGTTGTGGTGAGCCAAGATCATGCCATTGCACTCTGGCCTGGGCAACAAGACCGAAACTCTATCTCAAAAAAAAGAAAAAAATAAAAATAAAAGAGAGTCTAGCTGTAGGTATGAACCTCTTCCCTTTGTTAGTATGACCTTGAGGAAATCACACCGGGAAAGTCTGGCAGTGTCATTGCACAATAACAGTGTGGAAACACGGATCCCAGGGGGTGATGTCTGGTAGCCATTAGGCAGCCATGAAAAAAAAATCGACTTTTTCTAACATAAAGAGTATTTTTATTCTTTGTTGCAGCCAACGCTATGGTCTGCCCAGCTCTTTTTTCTGAGATCTCAGGCTTCTCATTCATTAATGAACCTGTGTTCAAGTTAAAACTTGCCAAATATGATGCACCTCCAAAAGCTGTAGCAGCCATTTTGGAAGTGAAGAAATGCACAGATCAGATATCGCTTGAGAAACATCTTTTAATTGAAAAAGTCCAGGTAATTTCTTTCTTTTCTTTTTTTTGACTCACTGCAACCTCCGCCTCCCAGGTGCAAGTGATTCTTGTGCCTCAGCCTCCCAAGTAGCTGGGACTACAGGCACCTGCCACCACGCCTGGCTAATTTTTGTATTTTTAGTAGAGACGGGCTTTCACCATGTTGGCCCGGCTGGTTTCAAACTCCTGACCTCAGGCGATCCACTCATCTCGGTCAATTTATTTCTTTTTTCATGTCGAGGCTTCTGGTCAGCGGCACAGTGTGAAGTGAGGTCAGCTTGCTGCTCTGCGGGGGACACAGGTGGTGGGGCACCTGCCTTGCTGTTCACTGCTTGAGAGAGTCACTCAGGGCCACAGGGTGGGTGCTTCTATTTCGCCTGCGGAACTCAGCTTAGCTGCGCACAGCCTCCTGCATGTTCCCCCTCCTCAGGTCACCTGCCTGGATGCCGTGTCCCCAGAGTGTGCTGAGGACATGGGGAGTGAGCCCGGGCCCAGGCAGGGGTGGTGAAGGGCTAAACATGACTACCTCTCCACCCGGGGACTTTCCTGAGGCCAAGCGGCCCTCACACTGTCACTGTGGAATGTACTGGGGGGTGTGGGAGCCTTGAACAGGGAGAGGAAGGCAGGGAGGGACCCAAAGCCAGGCCTCCTGCAGAGGCAGCGCTGGAGGGCTGGGCTTCTCTGCAGCTTCTGCAGAGCCAGGAAGGAGCTCCTCCCAGCTCCTCAGACTCCATGCTCCCCTCCTCACTCAGGATGCTCTCCTGACCACGGCCGGTGGGCCAAGACCCTCACTACTCCACCTCCTGCAGTGCCATGGAAGCGGGATGTTGTCACTCTGTCTTTCTCAAGAAATCAGAGGTTTTCCAGGGGCCTCTCAGCCTGGCTGCCTCTGGGCTGCTGTCCTGAGGTTTAGCCGCAAATGCTCACGGAAGCTGCAGGCTCAGGACTGAGGGGTGCTCGGATCCTGAGGCAGAATTCCCACATGGGGAGGCTGGAGTTTCCTGGAAGCCAAGCTTTCCAGAAGCCCTCTCAGCCCTACCAGCCTCTCAGCCCTGGGTCCCTCATTGCAGGAAACAGGAGACTCCAAGTCCTGGGACAGCCCAGACAATAACCTCTGGCTGCTCTGTCCACCCCTTCTTTCCCCCTCTGTGAAGACCCTGGGCCTCACACTTGGGTGCCCCCAGGGCTATTGACCTGGCAAGGAAAGGCTGCTCCCTCACTGGCGTGCATGCTGTGAAGCCCCAGGTCTAGGCTCTGGTTTCCCCCACACACTGGGTTCCTGCCTCTGCCCTTCCAATTGTCTTTGGGAGCAGAATTCCATCGACCACTTGGATGTTAAGATGTTGTCTCCAGGAGCTGCATGACCAACCTCACCTTCCTTTCTTTCCTTTTCTATTTCAGGAAAAAATAGCAGAGAAATGTGATCGCTGAGATGTAAATACTTTTTAATGCTAGTTTCCACTATCTTTCAATGATACTCTGATCGTCACTGCAGAATGTAAAGGTTTCAACGTCTTTCTCTAATAAATCACTTGCCCTGCACGTCTCCACTGGTCTTGTTATGATCTTGTTACTCAAGTCTCAGGCCTTGAGTCAAGGGTGGCTTTTATAGGGGAATGGCCTTTTGCTGTGGGTGATAATCAGCTCCAGAGAACTAGGTCCTGTTACCAATGGGGCTGGAGTCCAGGCATCCCAGAGGGAAATATTTGGTAGGAATCGTCCTGCATTCCTTAGACATTCCCTATCCTGTGGCCCTAAATGAAAACCATGTTAACGAGGACACAGGAATTACCTGGAGTTCCCACCCAGCAGTGGCCCTAGTGTGATGTCCTTTAGGACCGAAAGTCAGCCTGCTTGGTGCCACCTCTGCACTATGGTTTCTCTGCCCCGTCATGTTTATTTCCTAATTTATCACAATTTGAGGGCATCTCCAGGTTTCAACATGGAGTTCACATTTTTTCACTCCCCACACTCAGAGCACTCCTCAGTATCTGCACCCTCACCAGCACCTGAGGCAAATTCTATCTCTCTCCAGCTCTCCCAAGAGCTCCAGAGACCAGCACCCCCTGCCAACTGGACAGCTCCAAGTGTGCACTCTACAGTCACTCCAGGAGCAGGATGTGAAACTGAGCACTGCATCCTCCCACAGCCTGCTCTCCCTTCCATGAGCCCATCCAGGGTAATACACCCACCCGGCAAGTCTCCTAACCAGGACACAGGGAGACCCAACAGGTTCTTGTCTCGGTGTCCTGTGGCTGCTGGAACAAACCTCTGCAAGCTTGGTGGCTTAAAACAACTGATTTTCTGACACCACTGGGGATCAGGAGCCCAACATTAGTATCACTGCTGGGAGGCTAGGGAGCAGCAGGACTCGGCTCCCTCTGGGGGCTCTCAGGGAGAGATCACTAAGAGCTGCTAATGGCTTCTGGGCTGTTGACTGTCCTGGTCCTGTGGCCACATCACTGCAACCTCTTTCTCCATGATAATTTTTTTTCTATTGTTATTTCCATGTCAAATCCTTCTCTGCCTTTTAATTACAAAGTACAGAGGTTGGGTTTAGGGACCACCAGATTATTTAGAATAATGTCCCTATCTCATCATCTTTAACTTAATCACATATGCAAAGTGCTTTTTTGTCATGTAATGGAACAGATTTCAGGGATTAGGATGTAGATGTTTTTTGGGGGGAACATGAATCAGCCAAAAACATCTCCCCTTCCTACTGCCTTCTAGCCGTGCACTACGTTTTATTCCTTCCATGGCTACAGCATCACCTCTGCAAATCTCTTTTTTCCTGTCATGTAGTGACTACCACAGTCTGGTCTGCGTCCTTCACAACTTAGACTGAAATCTCCTAAATTGTCTCCTAGCCTCTGAAGCCCTCCTGCAATACGTTCTCCTTATCCACGCCAAAGTGAACCTCCTAAAATTAAAATGTGATTCTGTCTTCTTTTCCACAAGTGTACATGACCAGAGAGCTCTTTGTTCTCAAGGGTTTTAAGTAAGGGAACTTATTTTTACCCTAAACCTACCTTCATATGATAATGTTTATGCACTTGGAACAATAGGAGATAAGTTATTATTAATTGAACATTTCTTGTAAAATATGTATTTTAAAAATCACACCAGAAAATAGGTGCACTTAAAAACAGAACCTAAGTTTGTGAAACCCATTACCAGTTCAGTCTACACACTGTGCATAGCAAACCAGGATTCACGGAGCTCTCGAAACACTGGGAGAAAACCACAGAGGCACACTTGCTGGAGGAGCAAGTTCACACCCTTGCATTGCACACAAGGGCTTCCAACACCTGTTTTTGCCAGCCCCTGCCTTCTCATCTCCCTTTTCCCCCCAGGTACTCTGTAATCAGTCACAGTTTTTTATATTTCATTTCTTACGTGTCACATAACTCATATCCTTCCACCGGTGCTAATGTGCTTTCCTTTGCCTCTGTAGCCTTCCCTGCCTGAGACATCTGGCAACCTCATCTATAGAATTCACTTCGCTTATCTCTTCCTCTGCAAAGCCCTCTCAAATACCCATGCCTTACATTAAATCCTCATACACACATGCACCCACATGCATAGACATCCCTTTTATCATTAGTGTGCCTTTCTGTGTTATAGGATGCATATCACAGTATTGTTGTAAGAACACACTAAATTAATTAATACTCAAGAAAATCTTAGCACTCTGCAAACTGGAGCAACCATTACTATAATGCTTACAATGAATAGAAGTTTCTATGTATTGAGCATCTTGATATGCATTTTGCTGGAAGGCTTCCAAGTTCTGTCTAACTTAGACCTCACTAGTGCCCAGGAAGATCTGAGGTTATTCCCACTAAAGAATACAAGAATGACAAATGTTCTGCCTTGGGGTCCTCAAATGTGTCTCTGTTTTAGAATCCACTGGGAAGCTGTCAAAAGCAAGTGATGCCCTGGCCCCATGCGGATCTATCCCTGTGCAGGTAGAGTCCTTGCAGTCCCCATCCTCACACCTCACACCTCCCGCTCCTATACGCATGGGCATCCAGTGACCTGGGGAGGCAGTGGCTGAGACAGGAGCCCCCCATGATACTCACAAGACTCCCAGTATCACCAGGAAACACGGACACAAGGAGGGGAAGGTCACACACCGGGGTCTGTTGGGAATGGGAGTCTAGGGGAGGGATAGCTTTAGGAGAAATACCTAATGTAGATGACAGTTTGATGCGTGTAGCAAACCACCATGACACGTGTATACCTATGTAACAAACCTGCACATACTGCACGTGTATCCCAGAACTTAAAGTGTAATAAAAAATAAAAATAAAATAAACAAAATAAAACCTAGATAATAGGTTGATAGGTGCAGCAAACCACCATGGCACGTGTATACCTAAGTAACAAACCTGCAGGTTCTGCACATGTATCCCAGAACTTACAGTAAAATAAAATAAAATAAATTTTATAAAAAGAAAATATTCAGAAAAAAATGAAAAAAAAATTAAGTAGGAATGCAGTAGGCTTCCTATCTATTTCATTTCTGGGACCACCATGATTAATTAGTCAATGCCAGAGCTCTACACAAGTCACACTATTCTGATTGCTGCTTTGCCTCTGTTGTCAAATATGGTAGCTATGCCCACCTTGCCTTTGATGGTTGAGTGTCACCACTTGGCTGCTGCCACCTTGGATCCAATTGCTCCCATAGTATTTAAATTTTGTAGTTGAGTGACTGGAGTTCCCACTGTTAGATCTGACATACAGAGAAGAACTATTACAGGGCTCTTCAAAAATGCAGGTGCTGCCCTCACAAATCTATTTCTCAAGGCATTGGTCAGGGGAATATCTTCCGGACCCTTCCAGCTGGGATGAGTAGGTCTAAAGTGACTAATCCACTCCACCATGCCAATCTCCCTAAGCCTTTGGATCCCCTCCACTACATTAAACCAAGGGAGATTAGGCATTTCCAGCTTGCTCACAGTGGCCCATCTTTTAATCCATATTTCAGCTGACCAAGCATGTAAACTATTAGAACCCTTTTTA